TAGGAAATGCGTTTTTTTAAGGTACATAAACTTTTGAGATTGACTGTATAGCCAATACATTCTTAACAAATTTATAATAGTTGAATTCCTGAAACCTCGCTTTCCATAGTTAAACAACTCTTCAAAAGCGTTGTTTCATGTTTGATCTGCTCGTTAACGCAACAGGGAGCTCCCGATTGCAAACACGATGTCTTAATCCTTAGAGCAAGCGTGAGTAATCCCTCGTTAATTAACGATACCGAGAAGGAAATTCACGTGAACCTCGAGGAAGGCAACGGACGGGCCTCGTGGAGATTAGAACCGACGCAAGGCGAAGGTCTTTTGTCACATGACGTCGTAAACCCTTCCCCTCCGTTTCTTATATGATCGCGCGTGACCATCCAGTAAATCCATCGCAAACATCCACTGGAGTTTTTCCACCGACGACATTCCATTTCTTAATTCCCTTGCATCATACGCTGTCCCAATATTTCATATCATAATTGTAATGATCAACAGAATTATTCGATATAATGTTTATTACGATAAATGATGTTAATAATTCAAATGGGTGGAGGACTTGAGTCATCCGTCGTCCACGTGGAGCGAGATAGAAAGGAGGATTAATTGCTCCACGCCTTTTGTATTGAAGGTTCCTTCGAGAGTCACGAAGGAATCACGCAACTATCTAAGCCACGTGCTCGACAAAATGTTAAAAAACGATTCGCCTGTAAATTACCTGCTTCTTTCGTGACGACGTCGAGTTTATCGACGACGCGAGGATAATTTATGAGGAGTCTAGGAAATCTATTATCGTTCACGTGATTGCGTTATGGCAAACTACCGACATCCTGCTGGTTCAATCGATTTCCTAACTGTTTATCTTATAACAATGTGAAAACAAAAATATTCCTTGCCCAACGAAAATACACTTCTTTTTTACTGCTCCATAAAATATTTATTATTCGCTGGAAATTCGGTGATCTCTTCAACGGAATTGACGTATTAAAAATTCCCTACTCAAGGTAGACGCGTACACGTGTGCATGAATATGAATGCAAACGTCATCAGCTTACGTCGTACTTTATTGCTGGCAGAAAATAAACTTAAAAAAATGTATGTATCTCGGGCAGAAGGTTCGCGATACGTCGGGCATTTCGTGTCGATATGAATCAGTTATAACGTTCTTAAAAGACGAACGGATTTTCCCGATCGGGTCGTCTGTTAAACATCCTCTATCTGCTCGATGGTAAACGGGATATCGAAAATAGCGACTTAACCGGTAGTTATAGTCATTACTCATTTTTAAGATCGTCTCAAGGATGTATGGGCTATATACTT